ATATATATATATATATATATATATATGCACACACACATATACACACACAGTATATTCATTTTTGTAGAAAAAAATGCGGGACAGGGTTGATGATGCAACGACTTTTAAGGATTAGTACAATGAACTATTTTGTGTTCGCAGTATGACGACCAGGTTTACAAAAGTGTTGTCTTATAATCCACGGTCAGTTCAGTATCATTCTCGTCGGTGAATTTCGTGTTGTGTGATTGATTTCTCTGTAATACTTGGGTTGTACTGCTTACTATGCCCTTTTATGGATGTACTGTTTGCTTGCTTGTTTTATAATATTTATAGCAGAGGAACTGCTTTTTCTATGGCAGGAAGGAATCTGGGTCGATTCATATCGAAGCTCCTGTGTTGACGACCCACCGCCGAGCCTACGGACGAGTAGATCCTTCTGATAAATGTATATACTAGGTAGAGCAATTGGATAGTAACTGGGATAAGCAAGTGACCTGATACACATTTCATGCAGTATTCCATGAGGAAGGCGAGTGTGCATGATGGAGGGACGAGAAGTTTGTTGAGGGAAATGGGTTGTTGCCCGTAATAATGGTTGTCAGATAAGGCATTTTGGGGAATTGAAGAAAATAGAAAAGGAGGATTTGTCTTTCTTTTTATTTTTCAGGATTGTGTATGTAAGGAAAGTTCTATTGTTGCGATGTTTAATCTCGAAACAGTTGGGCAGATTAGTGTGAATGTACATATGCCTTACAGAGTGCCTGGTGTAATATAATGATTATTTTATAACCTGTAATCCCGTGTGTTAAATGTGAAAAGTGACTGGGAATGCCTGCAATTTGTACATTACTGTATATTAATGTAAATAGACCACTTTTTCAACTCGAGTGAAAACCTGTATGATCGACCTTGAATTGATATGTGTGCAAGTGTTCCAATGAAGTCCATTTAGTTCTGTTTTTTTAAGTTTCGTTTAATGACTGATTTTTTAGGGCAAGTTGGTTAAGTTTAAGACAATAACACTCTATGTTTGTTGAAGAGTTAATGTTAAGTTGCAGAAAAAAAACATACATAAAAGAAACCTATTTCTTTGTGTATAGTGTGTTTCTGTCAATAGTATCAAAAAAGTATTGCTTTGCCATTCAAAGATGAAGTTTACTGATTGTTTACATCCGCTGAATTGTAGCGGAGTCCATTCTCTGGCTATTCCTGAACTAGATTGAGGAAGCAGTGTTCCGTGCCGAGGCGGACAAACGACGGGCCCTTTGGCTCAGTGGAGAGCCCGAGGCCTCACGGCCGAAGGCCAGGAACTGCGGGCTTTATCTTCCGCTGTAGAGCAATGTGTTTTTGCACGAAACTCTGAAGATGCATGCTTTTGCAGAAGGTACTGACAAAAGCGCTGCAGGAAGTGTCTCTTTTACTAGGGATATCGTTAAAGGAAGAAAGAATGGGCTGCTGACTGACGAACTTGCATCTTCTCAAGAAACTTTTCTAACTAATTACAAGTACAATGTCTCATTCTACTTTTCCTCTGCCTGGTATATTGATATTACAGCTATGTTGTCAGTCATTTGTCCATTATTATAGTTTTATAATCCTTTGAAAAGAAAGCTCAAACTGTAAAGGATAACCGACAATTTTGTGTACATGAAGTGCGAGTCTGGTTGTTTCTTTTTCTGTGTTGGGAATTGATCTTGGTGAAACGATATGGGATATTTTCTTCCCTGTAGTTGCTAATCATTACCTTTTCTTTATTCTTTTATCTGCTTTCATAATTTATTTATCATTACTCTTTGTAATATTTTTTCAGACTTCCATTTTTCTTCTCTCTTAATTTGAAATATTGTTATTTTGCGGTGGCTCCCCCCTCTCTCTCTCTCAACTTTGCATCCACTTTAACAAGCATCTTGCTGTCTGTATTTCCTATCAAACAAGATGTCCTGTCTCAGTACTTCAGAGAATTCTCTGTATGCTGCACTTTCCTTTATCACAGACTAAGAAACGCTTCTCAACCAAGAGTAGAGTAACTTGCACAATATAAATGGTAGTTGAATTACTTTCCCCCTTTCTTTTAACTATTTTCAAACAATATGCAGTATCAAGTACTACGCATAACCATACCTCTCAGTCACCCAGATATAAATATACTTTTCATAATGGAAAATGCATAACTTTCTTCGTTTAATGCTCCTATACTTACTAATTTTCTTTGGTTAAAGGGATTTTCATCTATGGGGTAACTGTACACTGGGGACATTTGTAAAACGACAAAAATAAATTTTGTCTGCGATTCTCATTCCATTGCTCAAATTATTTTGTGCAGTACTGTATAGAAAAAGAAAATCCTTGGCATACGCAGGAATATTTTTATGAATCCTGTTACCTATTTCGTACAGTAAGAGTGTAGGTTATTTTTTCTCATGTTACCTTGTGCAATAGACACATTGTGCACTTGTCAGATGTTTACATGGTCTTATTAAAATGAGTTGCTTTCCTTTGGAAGTTTCACTGTCCTTCA